CCTATAGATGCAAACATGGTCTCACTGCAATTTTAATAAACAGCTGAGGATGGTCCTTGAGTATAGGAGTTGGTAAAATTAGTAAGAGCCATCCCGACTGGCTCCAGATCTTAGCTGTGCTCTGAGGCTGCTGGCATTCCCGCACAAAAGACAGGAGGTCTACAGTGAGCCATCCCAACTGGCTCCAGACCTTAGCTGCGCTCTGAGGCTGCTGGCATTCTGGCAAAAAAGGCAAGAGTTTTGCGTAGCCAAAAGTCAGTTCTGCCAGGTGACTTTTTCAAATGCAGCCAAGTGGATGCTGGTCCCTTTGCTGATGCAACATGCCATAGCTGGCTGCTGGCAGACTGACCTTTGGAAGTCAAAACACTCCCATTCAGGCTTGTCCTCTGTGCCCAGCCATGGAGGTTCAACCAGCACAAGAGCCACCGACACTTCCAGCCTTCTAGCTCGTTGGCTTGGTGGAGGACAAATGGCTCCTTGACTCAGCAACCTCCACAACTCTTGTCCTGCACTGAGCAATATCACAGGTCTGCTTTTGATCTCACAATGAGGTCCCACGGACATATTGCCAACTTCTGTGTTGGGAGACTTCAGATGCCTTCCCAGTTCTCTTGATATGCAGGAGACCAGGCCTTAAGCCTAAGTTCTAGAGCAGCTATTTTCAGGCCTAGACACAGTCCAGACTCAAGAAACAGGCCTAAATGTAACCTTTTACCATCCCTTTAGCTAAAGGACAATAAATGTTCATAGCAGTCTCACCCATGTCTCGTGGTAAAAACTAAATACAAAAGTCCCTTTCAAAAAAATAAACATATTTGAGAGTCTTAAAAAAAAGTGTCTTAAGGTTGATAAATACAAGTTTTACATGTTTGAGAGTTTAAAAAGGTGTCTTAAGGTTGAGAAATACAAGTTATACATGTTTGAGAGTTTAAAATGTCTTAAGGTTAATAAATACAAGTTATTCATGTTTGAGAGCCTAAAAATGTGTCTTAAGGTTGGTAATGCAAGTTATAAATGTTTGAGGGTCTAGGAAGATGTTTTAAATTTGGTAAATGCAAGTTATAAAGGTTACAAGGTCTAAGGTGATTTAAGGTATCTTAAATAGGTAAAAAGGCTTAATATTTCCTCCTGTTTCTATGCTATTGTTATTGTTGTATTGACTGTCCAGAGTTTTAACCTTTATCAATAGGGCTCTAATTTATTAATCTAACTCTGATACAAAAACATTCCACTATACCACGTACTATTATGGTTCTAAGCTCAAGATTGTAAGCCTCCATAACATGTATGCTTATACTAAAAGTTAAGATCAAGTAAGTTTCCCTTTTACTTCATAAAAGGCTTTTGCATTTTCACAGCTCACCTTAAAAAAATACTTATGCTATTAACACAAATATGTATGTTTACTGCCTTTTCTACAATGCAGAGTACAATTGTGATACTAACATGTCTAATGTTTTAACTCCTTCTTAAAACTTAAATTCTTGTAATCTGCAGAAAGTCCACCTAAATCCACCTCTCAGTTCAGTTGGACTCCAGATAAGTACTGCACTTATTGCTCCTCCCCTTTCCGTGGTTTTGGGACTTCCTTTCCTGGCTACCAGACTGCTATTTACTGCATGCAACACTGCCTGGATTGGTGAGTTCTCCTTATTGACCAGCCACTAGATTTGTGAGTTCACTCCATTTTTTTCAGTATAAAATGGCTCTCTTGGTAGGGAAGCTTGACCGCAGAGCTCTGGTACTATCTTTTGAGATGGAGGGACCCCGCCTCCAGCTGTAGCCTTGACTATCTAGGGTTGACCCTCCATGCTGACCCCCATTTTAGGGCCCCACTCTCCCTCGGGCAGTACGTCCCCACTCGCACATGGTTCCTTCTCACCCTCTCTCGCTTGCTAGCTGGAAAGACCTAGCACTAGACAAACCATTGTACCCTCAGCTGTGCCCTGCTGGGGATCTGCGCCCAGGTCCCTGGCCAAAAGCTGATGAGCTATTGGACCAGGTAGGACCTCTCCCTCGAGTCACGCCTTGCCATTGGAAGGTCCCTGACTTCTGCCCCCAATGGGAGACGCCCAGATGCCCACCCCTCCAGATAGGATATCCTCTGGAGAATTTTAAGCTTCTACACCTAGTGCCAGCTGGCACCAGGGCCTGTAATTTTTCACACTTATGTAACTAAACCTCCCCTCAATGACAGATCCAAAACAAAGCCTTCTTTAAATACTGCCAGTGATTGGGTAAATAAAGGTCCCCCCAGGTAGACAGAGGTTCCCATGTTCAAGTCTCATTGATTCAAACCTTCCACCTCTGTTTGCTCTTCCAAAAGTTTTCAATGTATACCTAAAGGATTTTTCTCCATAATCTACTCAACTTTATCTTTTGCCTATATATATGTTTCAGTGTCTTGCCAGACACAGACTGTTTCCTATAGTCACAAAAACAGTGCCAAAGCAGCTTCAAGTGTTTAACTCTGACCTCACAGACTTCCAACAACCTGGACTTGCACCTTCCCTCCTAGCCATGGATGTTCTCACAGACCCTGGAAAACATCAAAACAACCTATTCTTCCTGGATTTGGCCAACATTTCAGCCTTTTGACCTTCCTCCCTACAGCGCCCCCAGTGTCAGCAGGAAGTAGCCAGAAGAGAATCTATGTCCGTTATTCACTTCTCATTAACAAAAGGCTGAAATGGTGTGCTTCAGGACCAGGACAAGCAGCTCCAGGTTCTCCCAGCATTCCCCAGTCTCTACCTGCTGCCTTGCATGGCTGGAAACTCTCCTATTGACAACCCTCTACCCTAAATTTTCCAGGGCAGAGGCTTCCCGTACTCCTGACCTTGTAATTTGACCATTTTGTTGCTATAATTCTCTCTCTCAACCCCTTGCATGACAACCAAAAGCTGCTTCCAATGAACCACAATTTATATACTTTAACTTACTTTATAAAAATCAGCCCAAGCTCCTCATTTTTTAATTATAGAAAAAGGGAGGAATGTTAGTATTTTGGAACACATCCTGCTTCTGGATTACCTAACAACTTATGATGTCATTATATGTCACCGGCCAGGTGGCCACACCAAGAAGGTGTGGTTTCCTTGCCCCTTAAAGGGACAATCGGACAAGTGGTTGCTCTCTTGCTTCTCTCTTCTCTCTCTTTTTGGGTGCCCCTTCCCCTTTCTCTCTCTCTCCCCATCATGTTCTGTTCCACCCTTCCCTCTATACCCACCTAATAAACCTCTTGCATAGAAGATTGGTTGACAGCCTCATTCTTTTAATAGATCTAACAACATCAAACAAATTTCTTTTATGAATTAACAGTGTAGTGCTACAGTTTTCTCAGAGAAATATTCCATCCTGAAGAGAAACTAGGAAGACAGGAAGGTAAACAACTCAGCATAGCTTTAGGAGGTCCCTGCCATTGAGCACATTTGCTAGGCCCCTACTCCGCAAGAGTGTATATGGAGTGAGGACTGCTGAGGATCACTCTCAGGCAAGCCCAGGAGAATTGCCTAGAAGAGGCACAGATCAGCTGAGCCCCCAAGTAAGGACACAGTGATGATCTGAATGAGAATGGCTCCCATAGGCTCATGTATCTGAAAGCTTGGACCACAGTTGGGGAGAATTAGGAGGTGTAGCCTTGTTAGAGGAAGTGAGGCTTGTTGGAGCTGTGGTCTTGTTGGAAAAGGTATGGGTGGTTTTTTTTCTTTCCCTTCCCTTCCCTCCCCTCCCCTTCCCTTCCCTTCCCTTTGGAGAAGGTGTGACCTTGTTGCAGAAGTTGTGTCACTGGGGTTAAGGTTCCAAAAGCCCACACCATCCCTAGGCAGCTCTCTCTTTTTCCCTTGTGTTGATGCTTATAAGCTGTCAGTCTCTGCTCCAACACCATACCTGCCTGCCAACTGTCATGATCCCCACCAAGATGGTCATCAGCTCACCATCTGAAATTTTAAGCAAGCTCCCAATAAATTCCCTTTTTCTTTCTTTCTTTCTTTCTTTCTTTCTTTCTTTCTTTCTTTCTTTCTTTCTTTCTTTCTTTCTTTCTTTCTTTGCCTTGGGTATTGTATCTCCTCACAGCAACAGAAAAGTAACTAAAAAAGCTGTTCTCCAGCAGCCTCCAGGCTGTCCAGTATGTCTCAGAGTTCCAGCTTTTGTGAGCTCCCCATCCTGGGTTGTGCTTTGGTGATGTGCCTGTCTTTGAATCAAGTTTGATATTGAAAGTAACTTCCCACCCATATTTCTATAATCAATGCCAAGAATACTCATTGGTTTACCAAGTTGGATTTGAAGTATCTGTCCTTTGGTCTGTCATGGCCTCCCTATCTTAAGAGAGTAGATGTGTATGTGTTGAATTTCCTTAGGAAAGTTTGTCACACAACAACCATGCACAGTTTAATGATATAAAGTTATTAGTTCCTCTGAAATTTTGTAAGAATATAGCTTCTTTGTAACTTATAATCTATATTATCCAACAGGGAATCCCACAGTCACTGTCATGAGAACACACCTTCCCTACATATATGGTTTGAACACTCCAGTGTTTATACACTGTGCATTTCTCTGAGACGACAGAAGTGAATTGCTCACAGGACCTTCTTATTTGTTTACTAGAAATAAAACAGACTACAAAGCAAAAACGGCTACATGAAGTGCTAGCAGAACACTAAGGAAGGTACTTTCCTGAGTGAGCCATGCTTGTATTAATCTGAGAATGAAAAAAACGATTAAGCCCAGTGGTGGTGACACATGCCTATAAACTATAAATTTCTGGGCAGTGTGCAGATAACTGCTGGACATGCTACAAATCCACTTCCTATGTGTGTAGTGTCTGCTGTTGATCATTCAGGTAGGGGGCAGAGGCAGGCAGATTTATAAATTCAAGGCCAAACTGATCTACAAAGAAAGTAACATTCAGGACTGCCAAGGATACACAGAGAAATCCTATCTCAAAAACCTCAAACTAACTAGCTAACTAACAACAAACTTAAACATAGACTACAAAAACAGAACTTTAGAATATTTATTTAATTTCAATATTTATTTGTGTGTGTGAATGTGTACGGTGCAAATTTGGAGGTCACAGGACTTGGTTGCAGAAGGTTTTCGCTTCCAACTTGTGGGTCCAGGTGTCAAACTCAGGTGTCCGTCTTAGTGGCAAGTGCCTTTACCTTCAGAGCCATGTCCCTGTGCCTGACCCAAAACTTGATAGGAGTAAATCTATGTCCTCTGTAGTGATACACAGCTACAATCCCAGTCATCTGGGGTTTAAACTGTGGCCTTGTTATGAAACAACATTTACAAAAAGGGATGGTGGTAAGCGTCAGTAGTGCAGCATTTGCCTAGCATGCGTGAGGAGGTAGAATTCAAATATCCGTAGACAAAGGAAGAATTGCTTGTGACCTGCTATTTCGTCCTCCTTGGGACTCATCAGTACAGTGTAGCACCTGATCTGAATTTTTAAAAATATTTTGTTCTTAAAATTTAACAATGTCTAAATGATTACAAGATTAGGCATCAAATATTTTGAAGGAGGTTCAGTAGTTAACTGTCTCCTGATCTGAAACGAACCTAATAAGAATAAAATTCAAATGGCTTATTCATATATGAAATTCTCAAAAAAAATTAAATTGGGTAAATAAAATGGCATTTGCCTGTAACATATTCTTATTCTGTTTTAATTTAAAAATGAAAACTGAGAAAAAAAGGTCTAAAATCATTTTACAATGCTATTAAATCAAGGAGTGAACAGCACTGATTTTAATCCTGTTTAGATCTACCTTCATATTGGTCATTGAATATTGTAGATGAATGATGACCATGTTTATAACAATCTGTGGAGGCCACCTACCAATTATCATCCTTCTTTTGATTATTGAGTCATTTCCATGGGTTCAGTCACCCCACCTTTTTAGGTCTATTGCATTCAAAGCAAGAATCAATAAACAAATTTATATCTTATCATAAATTGGACTTCACTAACACAAATGTGTTTATAATTTAGGTTGAAGAGGTGAGTATGAGTATTAACCCATACTCAAACCCTATTTGATTTAGAGTCATCTGTGCTCTCCTAATTCCTTGTATCTATAATCCTCTAAGCCAGTTTTCATCATTGCTGTGAACACATACTATTGATGGGTTTGATAACGATTTGGTAGATCAGGAGTAGAGCAGCAACTGTAGATAGCAGGTCACAGAGCATCTGTTTCTCACGCATGCTTTGGCACATTCCCTAGCCTGGATTTAAAATTTCTGGGCGCTGTGAAGTACAGCTGTTGGACTTGCTACAAATCCACTTCCTAGGTATGTTGTCTTTGCTGCTGCTGATCCTACTGTCATTCAGGTAGGTACCTTCTCCTCCTCCTCCACCGGAGAGAATCCTAAAGCAAACAAACAAACAAAAATTTCTTCACAAGTCAACACTGCATTCAAACACCTCAACTAGTTTTGCACCTAGCATCTGTTACATCTTCAGGGTTCCACTTGAACACCACACCTTTGTCATTAATCCATGTGGAAACCTGCAATGTGTACAAAGCTTTTGACTGGTGCTTGCTGCCACGTTCAAATGGAGTGCTGCCATGGGCGGCCTCACTGAGGGTGATTTTCAGTTTTACTTGAAGTATTTTACACATGTATAAAAAGCAGGTGAAATCCCACTTCTTAGTACATTTCTGCAAGGTCTTTGATGGTGGACATGACTAGGTCTGTGTTTTACCATTCCGATGAGATGCTTCCATTCAAAATGGCTAGCTTTGCTCACACCCAAGAGCTGTCTCTGTGCCCTTTGATGAGGAGGCTTTAGGAGGTTCCCAGTGGCCCTGGAGTCTCTGCTTCTGTGAACAGGTGCAGCTGTGCAAACAGAGGACTGACAAGTCTTACCCACTCAGTTCTGCACTGGCTTCCTGGGATTTGGAGCTCTCTCCCTGCCCATCTATAGTTCAGACACCAAGTGTTTATCAGCTCAGAAAAGTTTTCCATTGGTGATGGAGCAGAGACCATCTACCCCAGATGCCATCCTCATGCTAAAAATTTTGAGTGAAATCACACGAAGAAAATACATTGGAAACGATGGCCAATAAATGGGAGCGCATAGAAAAATGTAAATTTGCAGAATATGAATACTCCTGTGGATTAGCCCTGCTTGTAAGCTCACACCCTACCTCTGAGGCACACCTCCACTTGGAGGGTCTATATTTCTTCCTGTCAGGTAAAGTTGGCCTCCCAGGACACAGCCATTCATCTCTTACAGTGAAAACTCACGCACATCGCAACCAATGATGAGAACAGAAGGAAAATTGGTCTGGACAACATACAAGTTGTTATACTCAGGGTTGTCTGTCCATCTCCAAGGGTGCTCTGGTGAGTCTCTGTGCAGGCCGATCCAGTGGTCAGAAGCCCCTGTGTACCTCTTCAGGAAATTCTGTGATAAAACATGGAAAGCAAATACATGTGTCTCTCAACTTCTGATGACCTTTGAACCTCTGCCCTCCAGCCTCCTCTCAGGATGGCAGCAGGTTGGAACTGAAAGTCATCAACTTTGAAGGCTTAAAACCCTCAGTTCTCAGTGGATGCATTTTACATCCATAATCCAAAATACATGGCTGATCACCATCCCACTGTGGCTTGGAAAATCCTTGGTTAAGAATGTCCTTGCCACTTGTAACAGATGCCACATTCAGTCTGCAACATGTGAATGCTTGGAGGAAAACTTACTTGACCACAGACTGTCTTAGGAGATAGTACATCTCACTAAGACATGGCAAGTCGTCTATGAGCACTACATGATAACATGCCTCTGCAATGTCTCACGGCTCGAGCCAGAAGTAAAAACATCAGCAGATGGCACAAACTAATGTGTTCCATTTCTGCCCAGTTTGCCTGGGTGATATTTTTTTTTTCATCCTTAAGTCTCAAGCTCTCTCTCTCAAGATAATACATAATAAAAAATTACCTATCATTTCTTACCAGCTCTTCTTGGCTGTCATATAGAGCCAGATGGGCCTCTTGTGTCATGCAGAAGGTCTGGCTGAATGTCCAGTTTCTCATGTCTTCAGAAAAATAAAAACATTTACTCCCAAATCCAATCCATCCACTTGGGCAGGTGGCATAGCAAGGTTCTCCGCTCTCCACAACCCATTTGTTTCTTCTCACTAAAATGCAGACAGCGCTATGAAATATTCAGGAACATTTTCACGTCTGGTTACTTTATCTAGCCATCCAAATCCCAGCTGTGAGGTGTGTGTTTGGACTGTAGCTTTTGTAATTGATCACCATGACCCCTCCTAGCATGAGGGTCCCCAGTCCAGGCCCTTCCAGGAGGGCTCTTAAGAAAATGCTTTTCTTTTCTTCTTTGTATTTTTGTTTTGAGACAGAATCCAGCTATAGTCTCCTGCCTGGCCTGGATCTCACTGTGTGGCCTGCACCTGTCTGGAGCTGTTATCAATCCTCCTGGCTGTGCCTCCTGAGTGCTAGGACTAAAGACATCATACCCTGCAATGAAATCATTTTTAGGCCATCAGCCATTTAGTTCTATCTCTGATTCCTGGAATCCTCCAGCTTCCTTTCCCATAATTCTCCTTCACAGCCTCCTTTCCTGACAAAAGAAAGAAAACTGCCTTCTTGTCTGGATTTTACTATAGAGAAATGCCAGCATTACAAACCATGATGTGGTCAAAATAGTTTTTTTTTATATCAAAATTTTTGATCCTGGGCACACATATACATACATATTAAATATATGTAAACATCAGAATGGCTACCATTTAGAAATCTGACAACGATGCTGGGTAGTGATGGAACACGCCCTTGATCCCAGTACGTTGGAGGCAGAGGCAGGTAGGAGTCAGCCTCTGTAGAAACATGTGCAGCAATAGGGACCCTTGGTTACTGCTGGGGGAGTGAAAACTGAGCCAGCTTGTAGAGAGGTCCCTCAGAAAACTTACAAATAGACTGCCAAGTGACCCAGCTGTGCCACTCTTGGAAGAAGAGCATTCCGTATCTACCACAGAGATACCTGCATAGCCAAGTTTCTTGCTCTCCCAGTTGCAACAGTAAGGAAAAGACCTGACATAGATGCCCATTAACGGAAGAACAGATAATGCAAATTTATTATATGCATAAGCAGAATATTATAAACTTACAAGGAAAAATGAAATGTGTAGGTATGTGGGGGAACGTAGAAAGGACAGTATTGAGTAAGGTCACCCAATCTGAGAAGAAAGAAGCCCATGGCACTCCCTCACACTCAGTCCCAGCCTCTACTGTGTGGTGTAGACGTCTGTGAGTGTGAGCATGGCATGCCTTGTAGAAAGGAGATCAAGGAAGAATGATACAAGGAGATGAGGAAGACCAGGATGCAAGAAAAGGGCCTGTAAGTTGTGAAAAGGGTTATAAAGAGAATTGTTCTTCTACTTTCAACTCTGTCTTAGTTTTTGATTTTTTGGTGGCAGATAAGTGCATGAAAATGTGACTGACAGTGAAAGTCTAAAACCATAACCAAAGCTCCAAAGCTCCAGAATGGCTATTCTATGTGTGGACATTTCTGAGCTACACAAGGTTTGAGACTTGGCAAGTGTTTGAGTGGCTCTGTTGACGGAGCTGTGTGCTGTGTTCACCTGGAATTCTATTATAATAAAGTGGCGTGTGTGTGCGTGCAAGTGTGCAGCGTGTGTGTGTGTTGTATGTGCATGTGGTTCCAGAGGACACTTCTACACCTTCATCTTTTTCTTCCTTTAGCAGGTCAAAACGAATGTGCTGCTGTTTCAAAGGTCCAGTGAGTTTCAAGAAACACATGATCTTTGAAGCAAGATATTTAATACCAGAAATGACCCCCAATTATTTTAGTGAAGGGGTCTTTGCTGTAGTTGATCCCAGTTCTCATATCCAGTACCAAGGCTCCAGTGAAAGGAACAAATGGAAAGAACACTGAGGGCGATGCTCACTTCTTTTTATCTGACTCCTCTTGAGCTGCATAATAGTTTATGTTACACAAAGATTTATTATGTTTGTCCTATTTAGACACATATTATTCCTTAGTTCACTCAAAGTTGATTGCAGTTAAAGCAGTATTGGGAGTTGTTGGTGCACTCCTTTAATCCCAGCACTTGGGAGAAAGAGGCAGGCCTATCTTCAAGTTCAAGGCCAGCATGGTATAAATAGTGAGTTTCAGGACAGACAGGGCTACACAGAGGAACACTTTCTACAAAGATATATATAAATATATATATATATGACTTATATATATTGTATATATGTATAATATATAATATACAATATATAATAATATAATACACAATATATAATATACAATATATAATAATATAATATACAATATATAATGTATAATATATGATATACAATATATAATAAACTATGTAATATGTATAATGCACACAATATAATATAATATCCATATACACAAAGCATAGGGATGTATATCAACATATACATACATACAGTATGTATGCACAGTGTATATATGTATTACATTTAATATACACTATATAATAATATAATTATATAATATATAATGTACAATAAATAATAAACTATATGATATGTAAAGGCACATAATACAATGTAATATACATATACACAAAGCATACGGATGTATATCAACAAATACACACATGTAGTGTATATGCATATTGGATATATGTGGTATATGTATATTAAATATCTCCACACGCAACACACAATACCTTATATTGCATATTATATAATATACTGCTGTATATGTATAATACATGGAACAATGCGATGGAACATTTATTCCAGCAACAGCAGCACAGTTGTAAACATTTTACCACGTTACTTAGAATAGTTTACATATGGAAACACATATTCTGGAACTTTCTATTTAATATTTTCTGACCACGGTTGAAGATACTAACTTAAATCATAGATCATGGGGGGTTCATACCTTCCCAACCATATTACTTTTCACTGCCCTCCCTTCCTTCCAGCTGAAGCATCCTTCTTGAGCTTCCCCCTCTGAGATTTTCTCTTCTTATTCCCTATCTTGAATAGTTCGCCAGTGTAAACATATGTCTCTTGCATCTCTGTCTAGAGCTTGCTGATGTCATCTTCGCAGGGATGCTGAGCCTGGCCTCCTGTGCACACCACAGCCTCTGCTGTTCCTCCACTGCAGCTTCCTGCTGGAGCCTGAATTCCCAGAGAACAGGAATTTCCAGTGTGTTTTCTCAAGCCCTTCCCACAGTGCCTGGCTCACAGTGGTCAGTAAGTATTTACTTCAATGTCAATGTGGACAGAATGTTACAGAATTTGGAGAATAAGTCACTTACCTGACAAAGCAACAGAAAGCACAATTACTGCTACAGTGAGGACTGTGATCACTGCATAGCAGCAGTAAAGCTTAGCAGGAGACTCAGAGGAGATGATTCTGAGACATTTTCCTTGAAGCTTTTTACCTGAAAATATCAACATGAGGTCAGTCTCAGGAACCTTTTATAGAAAAAGATAATTTTACCCAGAATCACTGTAGATTTGGATTTCACTCCCTAGTGTAAACCCCCTTCAACAATGGTCTCAGTCTGAAAATGATGTCTTTGGCTCCTAGAAGAGTAGAGGAAAGGGAAACAGAATTTTTGTCACAGAGTCTTCCAGTTATTGAACTAAGGGCTAGTCAAAGAGCAAGAAACAGAATGAGTGAAGCTCAGGATGAAAAGAGACAACAATAAGGTTACATACAGATTTAGTTCTGTAAGAATGGACCTGGTTAGGACCTAGGGGAGCATAATAATAATAAAAGTATAAAAGCAACCTGCCAGGTGTGGTGGCACAAGACTGTGGTTCCAGTGCATGGGGAGTAGAGGTAGGAGAGTCTGGAGTTCAAGACCAGTTTTGGCTAAAACTGAGTAAGAGGCTGAGATGAACTAAGTTAGACTCCAGTCTTTCACTCTGTCTATGTATCTAACTAACAACTAACTGACTGACTAACTGAACAACCAACTAACTTTTAACTGACCAACCAACCAACTAACTAACTCTAATGAACAAAGTACATGGAATTCAACATATTAACAGAATAAGAAAATTAAAAAACAGCATTTCAGTAAAATCAGCAAAAGCATGTGCAAAATGCAATGTAAATTCAAAGTAGCAACTATCAACACATTCAGAATTGAATAAATTTCCTTAAGGTAAGAAAAGCTAAAAATCACCTGAGACAGGGGACCTCAATTAAGAAAACATCTCCTGTTAGTGTGGTGGCAGAAGCTTTTGTTCTGAGCACTGCAGAGGCAAGGGAATCTCTGTGAGTTCAAGGACAGCCTGGTCTACAAAGTGAGTACAGGATGATTGAGCTCTGTTAAACAGAGAAACCCTGTGGTTTCTGATTTTGTGTTTTTAATATGTGTGTTTCTTGTGCTTCCTTTCTCCCTCCCTTCCTTCCTTCCTTCCTTCCTTCCTTCCTTCCTTCCTTCCTTCCTTCCTTCCTTCCTTCCTTCCCATCCTGGTTTTAGCCCCATCCCTCCTCACCTCCCAGTCCCACCTGCCCCTCCTCTTCACCATCTCCCTCTCCTATTTCTCAGCAAAGGGGAGCCCCCCTTCCCATCCATACCAGCTCCTCAAGTCATGTCAGTGATGAGTGTGCCCCTCTCACAGGGGGGAAGTAACTGAAAAGAGAGTCCATGTCAGAGAGAGCCCCTTCTCCCCTTATTAAAAGACCCACATGAGACCTGACCTGCTCATCAGTTACATCTTTGCAGGGGGCCTAGGTCCAGTCCATGCAAGGTCCTTGGTTGGTGCTTCAGTCTCAGGCCCCTCTTGGCTCTGGTTAGTTGTCTCTGTTGGTCTTTTTGTGAAGTTCCTATCACCTCTAGGTCCTAGTCTCCTCTCCCCTACACTTTCATAATTAGTGAAGGGCCAGCCCATCGTGGGTGGTGCTGTCCCTGAGCTGGTGGTCTCGGGTTCTATAGGGATGCAGGCTGACCAAGCCACAGGGAGCAAGTCAGTAAGCAGCACCCCTCCATAGCCTATATCAGGTCCCGCCTCCAGCTTCCTGCCCTGTTTGAGTTCCGGCCCCGACTTCCTTCAGCCATAAACAGGGCTGTGGAAGTAAAGTCAAATAAACCCTTTTGTCCCCAAATTGCTTAGGTCACAGTGTTTTCTCCCAGTGATAGAAATCCTAATTAAGACATGGGTCTATGATACACCGACAGAAAAATCCCACTACAGCCAGCATGAATGTTTTCCCCAGTAACACAGAACAAGGCCAAGGTGTCTGCAAACTGTTCTAGTGTGACTCTAAAGGTCCTATCCAGCACAATAGGGCAAGAATAACAATTAACAGTCAAGCCTCATGGAGATAAAGGACTACATGGATATATCTACATATAAATTTCTATTGAAAAGAGTCTATTAAAACAGCTCTAAAATGATGAATGATGTTACAGTGCTGCAGGAAAACATGTCAACACACAAAATAACTTTCATTTTCATAGACCAGAAATTGTCAAATGCAAACTAATGTATAAGAACATCAGCACTCGAAGCACTGCCAAACACACATTATACATGTAATGAAATATGTTCACAAACAGAGTCTGGAAGAGCAGCAAGTGCTCTTAACCCCTGAGCCATTTCTTTAGTTCCTACCATGGGATTTTTAAAACTATCAGCACATTTTAGGTACAGTTTCTTGAGGAAGAAAGAGAGAGAGAGAGAGAGAGAGAGAGAGAGAGAGAACCCTTTTTAGGGACCAGAGCAGAGTGTTCATTATACTAAATTCAATTTATTTTTCTGGAGTGTTGATAAAGAAAAATACCATATCTTTTGGATCTTAGTTCCATAGAAAATTCTTAATCCTTTTTCATTCTAGTTGAACTTTAAACAAAGATGTCCTTTGTATTTAGTAATCAAGATATCAAGATTCAGGGCTTTCTTTTTCAATTAGGTAACACACAACTTTACCTTAAAATATCTCCACCCCCCCACACACATACAAAAAAAAAAAAAGTGGCTGTTTCACTTCTGAAAGTTATTTTATCTATCTATCTATCTATCTATCTATCTATCTATCTATCCATCTATTGACTTGCATATGTGGTCTTTATTGCTTCCTTTTACAGTCTTCAACTTCCTTCTTTTTCTTCTCCAATTTATACCTCAAATGTTTATTATGGAAAATCCCATGCATATACAAAATCAAAATGATAAATTCTCACCTCAGGCTAACTTCTCTCACAGAAATGTCGAGTGTGTATGCGTATCTGTGCAGCAAATAAAAGTGGTTTCAGTTATGAGAACAATTGGCTGAGCTGAAAAACATCTACATTCCTCTCTATCTTGTTTTTTTGTTAAGTATGAACACTGTGTTTAAGGAAAGCCAATATTCTTTCACTAAAGCAAATAAGGGAGCAAAGAAAAATTAAAGTAATGGAAGAAGGCAGAGAAAATAAAAATAAAAGAATAAAGCAGACAGTTTTCAAATACAGAAGACAGTTTCCTTTCTGAAGACTGAAACAAAAATTTGACAGGATTCTTTGTTTCAATAATGTACCACAACATAGATGTGCCAGAGGATTCCCTGGTTGGGGGAGAAGGTTCAGCTAGCCCCAGGGCACCTCACCTCTCTCCTTTCTTTTGAATCACAGTGGATCTGAGAACTATGTGCCCCAGCACCACAGATGACATCCTCAGCTGTGCACATAGAAAGCTGTGTTGTTAGTTTCCTTCACATAAGAAGCATATTCTGTAGCAACTTTCTGTATTTCACTAGAGTGAAGTAGCTAGCTAAACACACACCCACACCAAACACAGACTAAAGAAAAGAATGAAAAACAAAACATAGCCCAAACCAACCAACCACACCAAAAACAAAACAAAACAAAACAAAACAACTCGTGACACAGGCTGTTATTATAAATGTATTGTTCATTTCTCCTGCCCAGAAATACTTGCACATTTTATTCTCTGATAGAGAAACTATTATAACAGAGGCCTTCAATCATGACCATTTCTAAAGTGACCCACCATGACAGGCCACAGGCAAGAGGGTCAGCTCCTCTGTTTTCCTGGTGAATCTCCCCTCTATTATTTATTTTGGTTCAATCACATTGAAATACTTACCCATGTCTACTTCTTGCAGGCAGTCTGGAGTAGGGGGCTCTATCTTCAGCATGCCTATGGAAGCCTCCTCAGTCTTTGCAGCACCCATCTGTGAGCTGAGAGGAAGCTACTCACTGAATTCAGGAAGAGGTTTGAAACTTGAAAGCCTGGAAAGGGAGAAAGAGCCTTGTGTTCTGTATGTGCTTCCTGCTATGCACTTTACCAACCCAGCCCAGTCAAGTGATTCCTCAATCACTCCTTATCAGTCCTTAGCAAATCACCTCTCAGCACATAGCTGTCTGTTTGGCAGAGAAACAGAATTACAAAGTAGGAGATTATGACATGAAATGAAGTGAACTTTAAACACAATATATGAAACTGATGAATGCTTTAGAATGTGAAACTGTTCCATACTTATCACTGATTCTTTAAGAAAAATACTGCTTTGATGAAAGTTGCTCTTATTAATTGGAGGAAGTGTTTATTTTACAACAGGGTCTCACTCTATAGCTCTGGCTAGCCTCAATATCACTATGTATACCAGGTTGGACTCAAACTCACAGACATATGCTCGGCTCTGTCTCATAAGTGCTTGTATTACAAATTCAAGCCACCACACTCAGCACATGTGTGCTAATTTTGGAACAATTTTACTCATAGATTATCTAGATTTGGATTTTCTGATAATAGTCAATATTTCTATTTCAGAGAATAGTTATATTTCAGGGATCTGCTGAAATGTAGATAAAGGCAACACACAGCTACAGAGCTATGACCTATCCAGGGACCAGCAACTCCGTTCCTCAGTGTGTGCTCCACAGAGGGCAGAAACAGATTCGTATGAGAGGTCTCATTGCATTATGATTTGCAATAAATAAATTGGAAGGATACAGCATTCATGTCAGCAGTTTTCTAAGGACGTAAGTACAACAGATAAGATAGGAAAAAGCACGCAGTGCATGTTTTCAGGTGTAAGGCATGGAGTGTGTTATGGTCCCCTAATGGAATGGACAGTGATAATAGAAGGCAAAGTCCTGGCAGATCCAACAAAATGATGATGGTGCATATGTACTTTGCTCTGCTTTTTTTTTTTTTTTTTTTTTAAGAGAGAAGCAACAACAAACCCCTAGGGAGACCATTAAACATTTGTTTTATTGGCTAAAAAGACAAGTATATGAATTTCCAGGAGTGATTCCTTGCAGCTAATAAAGGAAGTGTTTGTACCTATGTGGTAGGATGCTGTGTAATACACGGTAAACAGCTCCATTTTTACCAAGTGCAAACGCATGCACTTAAACACACCGTAAGTGTGCAGAGCATGAAAAGGAAGAGCCAAGGGAAGAGGGTTATAAAAACAGTGGGTTGCTTAGTTCAAGAGCGTCACTCCAAGAACATGGAACACCTGTTCAGAAACAAGGAGACTTGAGCCAGATTGAAGAGGATTCTGATCTTCCATCCCAAAGAACCAGTGTTTATTGTGGCTTTAGCTTTACCAAGGTTCCAGTTCATAAAAAATTGTAAAGCCAAAACCTGCACCAACTTCAGCTCTGCTGTCTCTCAGTTGATATCAAAATCACTAATTTTCAGTTAACACAGCCTGGGTAGTGTCTGCTTCTTCTGAAAATCTTTAGCCAGCTACCATCTACCTTTACCCATAAACTCTATCATTTAGATAAAGTTTTGTCCTAGACAATGACCCAGACGGTGCCTGATTATCTTCTCCTATCTCAGTCTAAAGGTTGGTACAAGGGCTGAAAGGCCAGATCAAGCAGATGAGATCACTACAGGAAGGCAGAGAGAAAAAGAGACTAAGGATTGAAGATCAAGATGGTCCTTAAATATTAAAATCTCTTTTCAAGACAGAGGAGTAATGACTTGCTTACCTGAAGTTGGCTGGAAGCTTCAGCAGATGTTCCCTGCCATTGCTGACTTCCTTCCCCATCCTGACCTTTGACCAGCATCTCAGTCTTCCTGGGCACTGACAATCATATCCTAATTTCAGCTGAGAAACAGTTACAGAAGAGAGTGTGTCATCCCTTATCATCAACAATGTCAGTCCAAAGGAAACTGCTAGGTCCTACAGGACCACACAGGGCTGGCAAAGTGCAGGCTCTGCTGGAGCAGTCTGGAATACTGGTCCAAAGTAGCTGCTCAAGTTCTTAAGGAAAATTAGGACACCTGAGGCTATTCTGTCAGAAACATCTGTTTTATTGACTATTGTAATTTTGTCGATTCTTTCCTGAAAGGAAAGGACCTGAAGAGAGAGTGGTTACTATTTTGAGGAATATGAAAATCAGTCTGCCAATGAGATGCAAGAGCTTGAGGCCCAGGAGAGTCCACAAATGATAGTTCTGCAATAAACTTGGCCTCTGGAGCTTATAAGTTTTTGCCAGCTCATGTATATGTCTAAACATTTCTTCCACCTCGATGGGCTGGTTTACATCAACTTTTCAACAAGTCCAGGGCTTCCTGGTTCTGCAAGATCACCTGCATTGTGAATGCAGTTTTAGAGCAGTTTGCAGGCCCCAGCTGACTTCTGGATGGTGTCTGTCAGCTGAGTAGAAATCTGCTGAGGTGGATACAGTATAGGGACAGAAGGTAAAGTTAAGGAATTTAGGGGGAAATCTTTCTCCCAGGTGCATATTTGAAACTTCCAAGCCTGTTGTCCTGGTAGTTGGTTGGGGGGTGTTGAAAAAGTTCCAATGCCATGGAAGGATCAGGGATGATAGTAGGAGGGAAAGCTTAAGTGTTTGAGTGACGGGAGTACTTGTTTAAGTACAGTTTGTCCTGTGCAGATGGAGCTAAGTCTGGACTTCCTGAAGCTTACATGATTTTTTTTAAGTTTACAAAACAACAACAACAACAACAAAAAAAAAAAACAGATAACATTTTAGATAAATTAGCATGACCATTGTAATCTACAGTGAAATCTGTATCTATAGGCCTTTCTATGCCAGCTCCTGCTCTGAATAATGACACGCAGATTTATATTTCTTTATGAATTCCTTTGCCTTACACTAAGCTTGTTCCCAACTAGCTCGTAACTTAATTATCCTGTTCATGCTAATATAAGTTCCACCATTTGGCTGGTTACCTCTCTTCAGTCTCAGATCTGAATTCCTCAGTGGCAAATCCCTCAGCCTGAGTCTTTCCCAGAGTTCTACTCTTTGTCCAGAAGTCCCACCTTACTATTCTGCCATTTGCTATAAGCCATAGGCATTTTATTTTAGCTAATCAGAATGTGTCGTAGGTAAGCAAGGAAAGACAGAGATGCATCTACACAGAGTTTACAAAAACATTATTATCCAACAGAAATCCTTATTGTAGATAAAGCAGTTAACATCTGTCTGAAAATAGTTGGAAGAAACTCATACCTTTGAGTCATAGAAAACAATGAAAGGAAGTTTTAAAGCTTGAGCCTGTAACTATGATAAGAGTAGCCAGTGTGTTACCAAGGTTAGATTAATAGCTCATTAGAATTCCATAGGTAATAGGTGAAAATGTGAACCTTTGTAATCTTAACCACATGTATCATCTTTAAATCTCATATTCTCCATACTTTTACAACTTGCATTTACATAGCCCAAACCACTTCTTTACATCCTAACAATCTACATCACTTTCACATACTTTAAATCACTTTCTTAGATCCTCACAACTTAATTTCAAATCTAGTCATTTATCATGAGACATAGGTGGTTGGTTACTGAAAGCAGGCATTGAAACCAAGTTATTTTAAATGAAAAAAATACTAAATAGTAAAATTTTAGTGTTAGCAGCATGATAGCTTGAGTCTGTCCTTACGATGAAACCTGTTTTCTGATTTATCCCATGAGTCTGCCTTTTCAGCAGGAGACCTTGTACCTTTGGAGAAAGCAAGGCCATGTTTTTACATAGAAAATGGACAGATGGGGAAATGGGGAGGGGAGGAGGAGTTGGCTAAAATCAGCTTATTGCTTCTAAACTGCTAAAACTACAGCTAGCCATCAACATCATCAGATATCCTGGAAGAAAACATTTCAACATATAATCCAAGAGGCCTCTGTATCAATTAAAATGTCATACCTACCTGGACAAACAGCCCAGGATCCTTCATGATGACTTTAATGGCTTTGTTGGGGGCAGAGGGCATCAGTCTTTAGCTGTCATACAGAGCAGTAAGTCTTCTGCTTACACACAGAGCAGCATCGGCCTTCTGCCACCAGACACAGAAGGTCGGAGAGACTTTTCTGTGGATGAGGCTTGGAAACTCACCTACCTTAGTGAGGAAGAATAGGGCAGTCAACCCCACACTGTCCACTGTTTATGCAGGACCCTGACAGAAGGTGAGACATGGGGCACCTTGGCCCAATGGTCAGTGTTGCCACAGTCCAGGTATTTTGCATATCTGGGGAAGCCTTGTCATTAAACACTTTAAATTCCATATTCAGCAGAACTCCTTGAGGGTTTGAGGGCCATCATCTAATTTATTAAGTATGCCTGATTTTAAGCAAACTTTACTTATGTTTAGTTACTTGTTTCATTCTTAACTTGAAAACATATACAAAGCTTGTCTCTGTAAATGAATTATATTTGTACTTAGCATGACTTCAGGCATAGTTCTGAGCACATTAAAGAATTTGGTCATTTATAAGTTAACTGACCATTAACATATATCTTGTTTCTTGTCTCCCACCTGCAGTGACACCTGAATCTCACCTGAGTGAAGGCTAGGGGGAAAGAGACAGGGTGACACAAAGAAGGACACCAAGTCTATATTCTGATCAAGGTATTGTTCACTGAAAGTCAAGGTAACTCTTAAATAGCAGGAAAGTACAAGCAGTTTCTTATGGAGGCAAATTTAGTTGGCCAAAACTTAGGAGGGCTCACTCAAGGTTACACAGAATCTGCTGTCTGGTTACCATGGTTGCATGGAATTTATTATCTAGTTCTCAGGGTCAACTGCTAGGGTCAGTCTCTGAGACACCAAACTTTAGATTAGAGCCAAGAGGCCAAATTCCACTGCTCATATGTGCACTCCAATTTTGCCATTAACTCCAAATGGGCTGCCACAGTTTCTCTTTAACAGTTTACAACAAGTTAATAGCGTTTATAACGTAAGAATCTCATAGTTTTATTCTTGTTAAGTTTGAGTTTTAAAAATTTGAATTGAAAATCTTTTAGAATTAAAAAAAAAGTACTTAGTCATGAATAAAATTCACAAAAAGACTGGAAA